CCCCCCCCCCTCCCTCCCCCCTCCCTCCTCCCAGATGAGGGACCTGAGACACAGTGGGGATGACACTCACGACCATGAAGGCTTACAATCAGAATATAAATAGGAACGCCCCTGAAAACATGCCAATCGAATTGTGAATTAGGCTCGACCCAAGCTGCCCGGTAAATACCAGAACCTGCTATGATGTTTTCTTTGCCATTTTGTTAGGAATATACGGTAGAAACATCTATCTTTACAGCACAGATAACAAGCTGCATTGAAAGGAATTCAAGTCTGAGATCTCGGCAAGCGTAGGAAGAAATTCAGCATCAAGCGGCATAACATTTTAGCCAATCAAAATTTATTTTGATAAATATGGCTACGAAGACACGAGGGAAGACACGCGAATACAAGAATGGTAGCCAGTTGGTTGACCAGTTATCGGCTTGCAAGGAACGTGAACGGACTCACACTGGAGTGAAGGCGTATACGTGGAAGCATTTTAAAAAGCGCTTTAGCCATTCATCAAACTGCAAGAGACATGAAAGAACTCACACAGGAGTGAAACCGTATACATGCAAGTATTGTAAAATGTGCTTTAACCGATCATCAAATTGCAAGCGACATGAACGAACTCACACAGGAGAGAAGCCGTACCCTTGCAAGTATTGTAAAAAGTGCTTTAGCCTGTTATCATATTGCCAGCAACATGAAAGAATTCACACAGGAGAGAAGCCGTATACATGCAAGTATTGTAAAAAGTGCTTTGGCCGGTTATCACATTGCCAGCAACATGAACGAATTCACACAGGAGAGAAGCCGTATACATGTAAGTATTGCAAAATGTGCTTTAGCCATTCGTTATATTGCAAGGTACATTAACGAACTCACACAGGAGAGAAGCCGTATACATGCAAGTATTGTAAAAAGTGCTTTAGCCAGTTATCATATTGCCAGCAACATGAAAGAATTCACACAGGAGAGAAGCCGTATAGATGCAAGCATTGTAAAATGTGCTTTAACCAATCATCAAATTGCAAGCAACATGAACGAACTCACACAGGTGAGAGGTCGTATACATGCAAGCATTGTAAAAAGAGCTTTACCCAGTTATCGAATTGCAAGAAACGTGAGGGAACTCACACGGAAGCTAAAGTGAAGCCGTATACATGCAAGTATTGTAAAAGAGGATTTAGCCAGTCATCAAGTTGCAAGCGACATGAAGGAAAACACGCAATAGACAGTTCTTTGAAACAAAATCAGCGTGATCAGGGCTTTAAACTAGTAAGACACTTTCAGGAGCCGAGAACTACTCACGGGTGCAAGGAATCTGGTATTTTGTTTTCTTCGACTGAAGAAAATTCAAGCCAAGTTGAAAGCCTGACCTGTTGGATTTGTCAGGAGGAATTTAGTAGCGAGGAATTTCTCATCAAACATTACGATGAGCATATGGCATGAAAACGACAGTTATGACGACCTTCTAACGCTTGAACCTGTTCACGAGATAATTTGTTCTGTTAAAATTCGTGCTTGGGGATTGTCGATATTTGTTTTCAGTTTGAAGCGCCATATTTCGGTAGCAGTGACATGGTTAAGAAATATTGTAGCTATCCTATACCTGCAGCTAACGTAACTTCCAGAGAAGAAGTCTGGCAATTTTTTTTTTCTGTTTTTTGTTTGTTTGTTAGTTAGTTAGTTGGTTGGTTAGTTTGTTTGTTTGTTTTTTTTGTTTTGTTGCTGAAGAGAATCGATAAGTAGTCCATTAGTAACTATGCCTGTACTAAACGTTTTTGAAATTATAATATTCTTAATGCACAAAGGTAAAGCTTCGCACTTAGCTTCACTTTCTTGTACTCCTCAAATGCTAATCATTCTGCCATAACGGTTGATCACTACTTCACCATTATACAAGGCCTGTTCGGTTGTCTTCGCTACATCTCCTTCATGACACGGAAGATTACCTACCCTATTTGTGGTGTGTGCGACGCTTACAGGGGTGATAAAGTATTTACCATTCCCGTCGAGGTTTGTCCGATGCGCCTCTAATCTTGCAAGTGCCTCGATTCGTGATGTTCACCTTTGTAACATGCCACCTAGTCTTTACCTCGTCTGGCACGCTTCCCGACAAGTGAGAGCGAAGCTTGGACAGGTTCCTTTCAACCATGTTACGAGCGCGGCTAGTATCACACCAATCAAACCACCCAGGACAGAAAAGAGACGCGCGTCTGTAATGGTGATACTCATACAATTTTTAATATTACTTACCTCGGTGGAAATTACCGGTGCGTTTGTTTTCTGTGCGACCTCTGTCTTTTCAGGGTTTCTGCAGCAAGCCATCTCTCTTGTCGTGGTCGCCAATGCTGCAGCGAATCCGATCGTTTATAGCTTTCAGAACATCGACATTCGAAAGAAACCGCGCAAACTGCTCACTAGATCTCGTCGCTTAGTATATATGTTATAAAATTGACCTCCTTGCATTTAATAAACGCGTCAGTATAACCTCAACAAACGGTAATCATTGAGTAATCTGTAAATTTGACCGACAATTAAAGAAATAAAATATTTCTATAGTAAATATTTTATATATAGGATTTTTGTGCCCTTTCTCTGCTTGTGTATTGTTTTACTCAGAGAGCCTCGGACCGGCAGGGGAGATATTAGTACAATGCAGTCGACCCCCCTGTAAGGGTTTCGCGCAGATCACATTACCTACCAGACCATAGGCTTGTCATTGCGTCCCTGTTAGTCTGCGGTGCAAGACGTGTTTTCGTACTCCCTCCTCCTCCCCAGGTCCTATTCACGGTTTTCCTTTCAAGTATGTTTTAATGTATGCATTTTTAGCGCCCACACCTTTACTGGGCCAAACTTCTTAAATTTGATGTTTGAATAAAAGCGGCTATGGGCTTTTGCTCATAGCCATATTAGCCCAGTCATTTGATGTGTTTTATAGTAGCCCAGTAAACAGAGCTCAGGCAAGGCAGCACTGGGGTGTGTTTTTTTGGGGTGGAGGAAAAGGGCATAAATGCATGTTTTTTATCTTTTATTTCATGCTGAAGCGAATTAAACTTTCGGACCATGTTTTAGTTTTTGACAGGTCAGTACAAAATGCAGACTGTGGACTGCAAACCGGACACAAAATCCAATTTGCAGACTACGTACAAAACACAGACTGAGAAGATATAAAGCCGTTTCTTCGTCTAACACGTGATAACATGCCGTCTCATAATTTACATTTAGGGATTAACACGTTATTTTTCTAAGCGGGAAATAACCATGTAGAGTAAGAATCTTGGAGCAAATTAAAGATTGTTAAGTTTCTTATATGCGCAATCTGTATTATGTGCAAAACTCAACCTGGTTTCATGTAGCTGACGCAAAGGGCGAGAAAACAAATTCGAGCGAGTCACGATTGGTTTTGGTTTTACTTCTGATTGGATGAAAAAGTGGCGGGAACTTTGTAAGCCAGTCGTGTAGCGTAGTTGATGCAAAACCAATCACTTTTCGACATCTAAATGAAAAGTGCAGGTAATTGGTTTGGTTTGGTTTTGGTTTTTGTGTAATACTCAGTTAAAATACGAACAAAGCTCATGACAATATTTATTTAACTCAGTCAAAATACTCTTCTTGTATATTTTACATGGTTTTCGAGTCAGTTCTGTACAACCTTATGTCAACATATTTACATCTAGGCAATAAATACCGGGAATGAAATTAAAATTACTGTATCTGGCACACTCTAAGTAAGTATGCTACTTTACCAAGCTGAAGTTTAAGAAGGACTCAGCGATTTTCAGAGAAACACAAAGTGATATTAAGAAAAGAAAACGTTACAAAAAAAAAAAAAAAAAAAAAAAACACAAGAAACACTTTATAGGGTGTAAAGATAATAATCATGGTACGAGAAACGGCATTGTATGTGCCTTCAGAAAGTGAAAAACAAAACAAAACAAACAAACAAACAAACAACAACGCAGAAAATGCATGAACCACATCAGAATCTTCTTTTTTTTTTTGCTTAGAAAAGAGAAACTTTGCTTTGAACGAATGAAAAGTTATATACACAATCTAGTATCAACACGACAGTGCTTTCAAAAATGATCAAACCTCGGATTTTTCGAAGCTATTTTTCTTTCGCCTTCACTGAGTTAGAGGCGGAATGCCTTTATTCTTTCAAACAGAATAAGTTAAAAACAAGCGTGTAAAATTAAGTCTGATTCACTATACAGGAAAGCTAAAATTAATTGTGCACTGTTGCATATAGAAAGCTATGTATTTTATACACACGATGTCAACGTAGCAAATAGCTATAAACAGCATTTTTCTTGGACAAGTGGATATTTTCTCGTGGTGACCTGCCGTTTCTTCTTACAGGCATTTTGTACACATTCCGTATAGAGTTTGCATGGTTTGACAGTATAAGCTTTAGATATAACCGTAGGTCATTTCATCCTGCAGCCTAGCCACTACATCAAGATCAAAGGAGCCAGCCTACGATGTAAAAATAATAATAATAAATAATAATAATAATAATAATAATAATAATACCAATAAAATAGAAAAGTATCGATATTTAAGTTTGAGGATCTTGAATCCTTACAGTGATCTTTGCTAAGATCTACATGTAATTACAAGATCTCATAAGATGTCATTACATGTGTCTCCTAAGACCTTTGTAAGGTCCTCTACGGATCTTTAAAAGACCTTTAATTGATGAAGTTTGGCAGCTCTTTAAATTAAAGATTTCACAAAAAATATCCTTAAAAGATCATCTTGCAAGGATTTTCACCAGAAACAGTGGACAACCTGTCAGTCATTCCGTGGAGGTGTGAGTGACTGGTAATTCCCCATTCATCATTTATTTCATCTGTTTCCCACCTCCTTCAATTCACTGTAGCCTGAAATGCCAGTCATCTCCCAACCTGATCAGTTAGGCTGAAGGCAGGAGATGAAGGACCTTTCAGGCTGTCACTACAGGAAAGAGGCATGTAACATGGCTAAGAAAAGTCCCAGTATACATTGTGACAACAAGCAGTTGTAACCTTTTTCAGCATACAAGTACACCTACCCTTGAATACCAGTGCTTCGCCTGCTCTCTATTTTGTTCCACTCCTAATCCATGATGTAAACAGCGGCCATAAACAAAACATCCTAGGGCGATTCCTTTAGCCACATAGCGAGGCAGACAGTCAGTTTCAAGAGCAAGGCCTTGTATGTCCTCTTGCTCTCCAACACTGCAAGCATGGAATTGGAAAATATAAAAAAAAAATTAAAATGAGGAAAACCTGTTCATTAAAAGTACAGGCAAGGATTCTATCACAAACAAACAAATAATCAACTAGATGATGTAAAGTCTGGGTGCAGTTTAGTCTGCCTGCAGTACAGACATTCTTACTGAGCAAGTGCTGGATACACGTATTTTTATTTTCCCTAACTGGCAGTCATCTTGGAGTTGCAAAACATGGAGGGTTGGGACAGAAAAACATGTAGGGTGTTTTTCCTTCCCCCTCCCATCCTCTGTCACTCTTCAATCAGCCTCACTCTTGCTCCCTAGGAACATTTTTTCTTCCTCCCTTAAGTCTCTCCTGTAGTTGATCACCCAATTAAAATGTCCATGTTTGCTATTGATAAATAACCTCAGCCCCGCAATTGGGGCTATTCAATCTGTTGTAAAATCCAGCCAACTGGTGATCACAGATGACCACGAGGCACTGAGAAGCAGGGGGGTAATTTGTTAATCATCGGTATGATGACAGACTGAATTAGAAAATGTTAAACAAAGCAATGCAGGCTGCTTTCCCTTGGCCTTTTTTCAAAAAGTGTCCTTATCTTTATCATGTAAGCTCAAATTGGGCTTCTTTATCTTAATAGCCAGTATATACAATGTATATTCAAGAATTCATTTGAAATGTCTAGTTCCAAAAAATATCCATACCTTACCCACATAAGGGATTTTTTCCAAGACCCCCCTCCCCTCCTGTCCCCCCAACCCCTCTGGAAATTCCAATTAAGCTTCAGACATTTCCTTCAATTTTTTTTGTCCAACAGAGCTCCCCACCCCCTCAGGAAATTCCAATCCATTCTGTGGGGGAGTATGGATGTTTTCTGGAACTGCCCAATATTAAGTAAGCTTGAAATCAAGCAAAACAGGAAATTAAAAATTTAAAAGTATGATGTAAATATTCATCGAGGCTTTAAAGGAAATGATTAGGCATCAGTTACCTTTTTGCCACATCAGCAGCCTTGTTTAACAGTTTTCTTCTGTAATAATGAACAGCTAAGTTACCCTGGGCATAGACATTTCCTCTAGCAGCTGCTTCCTTCAGACACTTAAAAGCTGCTTCACCATCTCGCCGAACACCAATGCCATACTCAAACATCACACCTAATGCACCTGAAAATGAGAACAAATTCCAGTGATGAAGGTTATGGACTAGTTTCATGTATCCCATTGGCCACCATAGGGACTTTGAAAATTATGTTGGTTTAAAAATATAAGAAAAAAAAGCTGTTTGAATGGATCTAAAGGATCTAATTAAGGATTGACACAGTCATCTCTCAATACTGCCAGCATTTCCATCATTGGCGTAGCCAGGTTACTACAGTTTTCACAGAGTGACTAGGGGAATTGCTATTCCCCCATCTGCCACCTGCCACTGAATGGGATGCTAGTCTGTTGCGGGGTGCTCAACACAATAGCGAGGTTGCTCTACCAATTGACTAGTATCCATTTATACTTCTCCATTAGCACTGACACTTGTTTGATACCGTACCACTTGTAATAAGAAAAAAGTAACATGAATGTATGCCATTAAGTCAAAGGCTACAGGAGCAAAGTTCACCCTTTCGATTTCCTTAGTGTACTTGAAAATATAATGTTATTCAAAATTATGTAGTTTCTACATGTATGTACACATATTGTACCTTGTGACTCTAGGCTTCCATTTCCAGTGGCTTCCTGATGCCAAAAGTATGCCTAGAGAAAATAAAACAGCATCACTATTACTAGTGAACATTTCCTTCTCAGAAAGGGCAATGTTTCAATCACATTAAAGATCATCGCAATTGTCTACCCAACTCAGGCGGTTACAAAAAGAAGGCCAGGAAAAAAAAAATGAGATTGAACATCAAAAATAAACAAGTGCACGTACATGTAATTCCAGGATATATAATAATATTAGCTGCAGCTGCATCATTGAGACTTAATAGTTGGTGCAGAAAAAGTTAAAGAAAAACCAACCTTTTGCAAGTCAAAGGACTCTTCATCAGGTCGTGAGTAGAACAAACCCAAGACAGTTTGCGCCTTAATGCTCCCACTTGGTTCGCCATCCTGTGCAGCAGCAAGGAGCCACCTCTCTGCCTCCTTGTCAGACTGTTTGACACCAAATCCTTCATAGTAAGCCCTGCCAACATTATACTGGGCAAATGGAATCAGGTGTGCTGCATCAGGATTGGCGGATTCTGCTATTTCTTTGAGATGTTCAAATCCTTTTACCTGAAGAGAACACAAGATTGAAACATTGAAAAGAATACCATATTTCCTGGAACCAGTCAGGGCTTGAAAAAAGCTTAAATTCTGGCTTGCCCTTTGGACAAGCAGCTCTCAAATTTTGCTTGCCTTGGGCAAGTCTTTGTTTACTTTTTTTATTTAGTTGGCAGATGACTTGCCTGGGCCCTTGCCCATTGGGGAAGTAAGACTGAAAAGTTACTTGCCCAGCAAGAAAATCTACTTGTTCCGGATGACCGAACAGCACTCTTTCTGAGCCCTGAGCAGTGCATTGATATTTTATTCCAGGATAGCGGCTCAGCACGGAAATACCAGTTGACAAAATGAGCAGGAGGGGGTAGGTGGAGTTAGCCATGGTTCCGCACTTCTAGTTTTCTAGCAGTCAGTGTAAAATGAAAACTGCAGAGTGTAGACGGGGGGTAAAATGCAGACAAACCCAGGGACAGACTGCAGCCAGTCTGCAGACTGCATTGATCAGGAGTTAACTGCAGACTGATGCATGTACATGCACACTTTTTACCTGAATCGCATTATCATTTCAATCACTGAGAGCTAACCATAAACAGGCTAACCACAGCATTATTTAGGCTAACCCGAGTGATATTCAGGCTGACCTGAGTGATATTCAGGCTAACTGGAGAACAGAATTTCACTGCGATTGGCCTGAATAATCCTGTTTACGGTCAGTAATCGATAGTGAAGTCTACACTTTACCCCTGGTCCGTCTAGCTTAGTATAAAAGACATTTTGTTACTACGCTAGTGCCGTGTATTAAGGCCGGGATTTACACTTCAATTCAGAGTTGATTTTGAAATTGCAGCTTTGGGGCGACAAAAATTGCATTAAGTTTTTTAAACGGATCTTTAAAAAATTATTCAGCTTCCAGAAGTTTTCAGAATAAGCTTAAAGTTCTAAGCTTGCAAAATAATAAGGTTACCGGGTTGGCGTTTGTTCCAATTCCATCATAGTACATCACACCAAGTTGGTATTTTGCTTGAAAATCTGTGCTCTTGATTCTTTCAAATGCGACCAGAGCTTTGTCGTAAATTTCCCGCTCAAAGTAGAACTGTCCCAGTTGAAATTTGGCGAGACTATCACCACCTTTAGAACGCTCGATTAAAATTTCTTCCAGAAGTTCTTCTGATAGCTCTTCTTCGTCTCCTTCTTGCACTGCACCCATAGAAAACGGTCTTGTGTTAGGGAGCTTTTCAGCGCTTAGCTTACGATCGCTAAGGGGTCCGACAGGACAAGAGAAAGGCCGTATTTCTAGAGCTTCTTCGTCCGCCATCTTGGACGTAAGTTGAGCAATCACTGTTGCCATAGTGACGATGGTCGTACGAGCTGGTAAAATAATTCTATTGGGGGGAGGGGTCGTACGGGAGGAATTAAAAAATTTCCATCCCATTCCAGCGCGGCCTTTGAGTGCCAATAGCCATTGATCGGAGAAATCAAGCAGTTTTATAATGACTGAACTATTTTGTACAAATATTAAAGGCAAGGGATCGCAAACAAAAATGCTGCTATTTGATCAGACAGCAATAAAAATAGAATAACAATGAAACAAGGCTGATTACTACGAAGACAACTTAACGGGACATCGACCTGGTAGAGTCCAAACTGACAGTTTCAGTAAGGTATGGCAGCCAAAAAAATAGAGCAACAAACAAGAAAGGCCAATTTCATCTAATAGACCTTTTATGAGCTGTAAAAACCAAACCGCTGCTAGGAAAGGGTTGCTCTGTATGGGAATCGCAATCCTTCTCTTCGCTAACCCTAACCCGAGCTGCTATCCCGAGGGACAAAAACGCCTCTAATCTCTAATTTCTTGGTGTTCCCGAGAGCTATCCGGTGGGAATAGTCGATCCCCAAAGGAAATGTTTCCTGTAATCAAACAGTTTCAGATCGCGTAGATATCAACAAGTGGATAAGTGCACGGAAACAAAACACGTCCAGAAATGGTGAAAATCTTTGTCCCAGAATGTTTATGTTTATGTTTATGTTTATGTTTCTTCATGGCGTTAACTTAATTACACTAAAACACAAAATAATAAATTCGTATTAAAGGAAAGGCCAAGGGATAACCTTTGAAAGAGTTCAGGACTCCCCGAATTGGTTAGAAGTACATATTATATCAAAGTAATTGACTAAGGGTTTAACAAGTAAAACTATGTACGACTGGCGTTATAGTAGTTAGTAGTCATAACTCCATGAAAACCTCTTAGCTCCAGCCTTAAAGATACTTACATTCGTAGTAGTATGAGTTTCTATTGGAAAAAGATTCCAAGTATCCGATCGATATTCTGTGGAAAAAACTGTATTTCAATACATTTGTCCTCACACATTTATTTTTTAAAATTAAAGTTGTTATTATGCCTAAGGGAGTAACGATCCCCTTTTGAATAAAACTCTTTATACTCTAATTATCCTGAAACGATTATAAAATATTTTGTAACTAACCTTAATAAACACAAACACTGCATCAGGAGCGCGCATATCAGGATACAGCGAGCGTTACATCATCTGATAAAGAAACTACAGCGGTGAATAAACAAAACAATAAAACAAAGTTGAAAGAGATGCCTTCGAGTGGCTCTTGCAAAAATTACAAAATCTTTTAAAATAGCTTACTAGCCCCTAGTGTTTCATCATACCTACAGGCACGTACGCCTAAAATACTTCTAAAGATTTCACGAATCATGCATAATGAACATACTCCAGTGCAATTAGCAAAACGTTTCAAAATATACATATAGGAACGGACATCAACATTGTCTTCCCCTTGAGAATAAGAATATATATATTAGATCAGCCAGCAATCTTCCCTTCATCAAGGACGTATGATTAGCGGTCGTAAGGGTCATCATTCTTTAGGATGAATTTGGTAGCTCTTCTCTGTATCTTTTCAGACCTTCCAATATTTCGTTTAGTATAGGGAGACCACACTACACTTCTACAGAGTTTGAACGAACCAGAGTGAGCATCACGATGAAGAGTTCGCAAATTAAAGGCTTTGGGTCGTCTAAGCCTCTGCAAAATCGTTTTATTAATCCTAGCATTTGATTTTCTTTGGAAACAATTTTATAGAAATGGGAGTTCCATGATATGTGGTCATTGGAGATAATTTCCAAATCTTATTCTTGGTTATTCTCCTTATTATACATTGTAGTCACCATCTGTCTTTTCATTGGCTAAAACCCTACAATTAATTCTGGGAAACAGCGCAACCTACAGATTATTCACTAATCTGCTAGCAAATTAGTGATTANACCTTTAATTGATGAAGTTTGGCAGCTCTTTAAATTAAAGATTTCACAAAAAATATCCTTAAAAGATCATCTTGCAAGGATTTTCACCAGAAACAGTGGACAACCTGTCAGTCATTCCGTGGAGGTGTGAGTGACTGGTAATTCCCCATTCATCATTTATTTCATCTGTTTCCCACCTCCTTCAATTCACTGTAGCCTGAAATGCCAGTCATCTCCCAACCTGATCAGTTAGGCTGAAGGCAGGAGATGAAGGACCTTTCAGGCTGTCACTACAGGAAAGAGGCATGTAACATGGCTAAGAAAAGTCCCAGTATACATTGTGACAACAAGCAGTTGTAACCTTTTTCAGCATACAAGTACACCTACCCTTGAATACCAGTGCTTCGCCTGCTCTCTATTTTGTTCCACTCCTAATCCATGATGTAAACAGCGGCCATAAACAAAACATCCTAGGGCGATTCCTTTAGCCACATAGCGAGGCAGACAGTCAGTTTCAAGAGCAAGGCCTTGTATGTCCTCTTGCTCTCCAACACTGCAAGCATGGAATTGGAAAATATAAAAAAAAAATTAAAATGAGGAAAACCTGTTCATTAAAAGTACAGGCAAGGATTCTATCACAAACAAACAAATAATCAACTAGATGATGTAAAGTCTGGGTGCAGTTTAGTCTGCCTGCAGTACAGACATTCTTACTGAGCAAGTGCTGGATACACATATTTTTATTTTCCCTAACTGGCAGTCATCTTGGAGTTGCAAAACATGGAGGGTTGGGACAGAAAAACATGTAGGGTGTTTTTCCTTCCCCCTCCCATCCTCTGTCACTCTTCAATCAGCCTCACTCTTGCTCCCTAGGAACATTTTTTCTTCCTCCCTTAAGTCTCTCCTGTAGTTGATCACCCAATTAAAATGTCCATGTTTGCTATTGATAAATAACCTCAGCCCCGCAATTGGGGCTATTCAATCTGTTGTAAAATCCAGCCAACTGGTGATCACAGATGACCACGAGGCACTGAGAAGCAGGGGGGTAATTTGTTAATCATCGGTATGATGACAGACTGAATTAGAAAATGTTAAACAAAGCAATGCAGGCTGCTTTCCCTTGGCCTTTTTTCAAAAAGTGTCCTTATCTTTATCATGTAAGCTCAAATTGGGCTTCTTTATCTTAATAGCCAGTATATACAATGTATATTCAAGAATTCATTTGAAATGTCTAGTTCCAAAAAATATCCATACCTTACCCACATAAGGGATTTTTTCCAAGACCCCCCTCCCCTCCTGTCCCCCCAACCCCTCTGGAAATTCCAATTAAGCTTCAGACATTTCCTTCAATTTTTTTTGTCCAACAGAGCTCCCCACCCCCTCAGGAAATTCCAATCCATTCTGTGGGGGAGTATGGATGTTTTCTGGAACTGCCCAATATTAAGTAAGCTTGAAATCAAGCAAAACAGGAAATTAAAAATTTAAAAGTATGATGTAAATATTCATCGAGGCTTTAAAGGAAATGATTAGGCATCAGTTACCTTTTTGCCACATCAGCAGCCTTGTTTAACAGTTTTCTTCTGTAATAATGAACAGCTAAGTTACCCTGGGCATAGACATTTCCTCTAGCAGCTGCTTCCTTCAGACACTTAAAAGCTGCTTCACCATCTCGCCGAACACCAATGCCATACTCAAACATCACACCTAATGCACCTGAAAATGAGAACAAATTCCAGTGATGAAGGTTATGGACTAGTTTCATGTATCCCATTGGCCACCATAGGGACTTTGAAAATTATGTTGGTTTAAAAATATAAGAAAAAAAAGCTGTTTGAATGGATCTAAAGGATCTAATTAAGGATTGACACAGTCATCTCTCAATACTGCCAGCATTTCCATCATTGGCGTAGCCAGGTTACTACAGTTTTCACAGAGTGACTAGGGGAATTGCTATTCCCCCATCTGCCACCTGCCACTGAATGGGATGCTAGTCTGTTGCGGGGTGCTCAACACAATAGCGAGGTTGCTCTACCAATTGACTAGTATCCATTTATACTTCTCCATTAGCACTGACACTTGTTTGATACCGTACCACTTGTAATAAGAAAAAAGTAACATGAATGTATGCCATTAAGTCAAAGGCTACAGGAGCAAAGTTCACCCTTTCGATTTCCTTAGTGTACTTGAAAATATAATGTTATTCAAAATTATGTAGTTTCTACATGTATGTACACATATTGTACCTTGTGACTCTAGGCTTCCATTTCCAGTGGCTTCCTGATGCCAAAAGTATGCCTAGAGAAAATAAAACAGCATCACTATTACTAGTGAACATTTCCTTCTCAGAAAGGGCAATGTTTCAATCACATTAAAGATCATCGCAATTGTCTACCCAACTCAGGCGGTTACAAAAAGAAGGCCAGGAAAAAAAAAATGAGATTGAACATCAAAAATAAACAAGTGCACGTACATGTAATTCCAGGATATATAATAATATTAGCTGCAGCTGCATCATTGAGACTTAATAGTTGGTGCAGAAAAAGTTAAAGAAAAACCAACCTTTTGCAAGTCAAAGGACTCTTCATCAGGTCGTGAGTAGAACAAACCCAAGACAGTTTGCGCCTTAATGCTCCCACTTGGTTCGCCATCCTGTGCAGCAGCAAGGAGCCACCTCTCTGCCTCCTTGTCAGACTGTTTGACACCAAATCCTTCATAGTAAGCCCTGCCAACATTATACTGGGCAAATGGAATCAGGTGTGCTGCATCAGGATTGGCGGATTCTGCTATTTCTTTGAGATGTTCAAATCCTTTTACCTGAAGAGAACACAAGATTGAAACATTGAAAAGAATACCATATTTCCTGGAACCAGTCAGGGCTTGAAAAAAGCTTAAATTCTGGCTTGCCCTTTGGACAAGCAGCTCTCAAATTTTGCTTGCCTTGGGCAAGTCTTTGTTTACTTTTTTTATTTAGTTGGCAGATGACTTGCCTGGGCCCTTGCCCATTGGGGAAGTAAGACTGAAAAGTTACTTGCCCAGCAAGAAAATCTACTTGTTCCGGATGACCGAACAGCACTCTTTCTGAGCCCTGAGCAGTGCATTGATATTTTATTCCAGGATAGCGGCTCAGCACGGAAATACCAGTTGACAAAATGAGCAGGAGGGGGTAGGTGGAGTTAGCCATGGTTCCGCACTTCTAGTTTTCTAGCAGTCAGTGTAAAATGAAAACTGCAGAGTGTAGACGGGGGGTAAAATGCAGACAAACCCAGGGACAGACTGCAGCCAGTCTGCAGACTGCATTGATCAGGAGTTAACTGCAGACTGATGCATGTACATGCACACTTTTTACCTGAATCGCATTATCATTTCAATCACTGAGAGCTAACCATAAACAGGCTAACCACAGCATTATTTAGGCTAACCCGAGTGATATTCAGGCTGACCTGAGTGATATTCAGGCTAACTGGAGAACAGAATTTCACTGCGATTGGCCTGAATAATCCTGTTTACGGTCAGTAATCGATAGTGAAGTCTACACTTTACCCCTGGTCCGTCTAGCTTAGTATAAAAGACATTTTGTTACTACGCTAGTGCCGTGTATTAAGGCCGGGATTTACACTTCAATTCAGAGTTGATTTTGAAATTGCAGCTTTGGGGCGACAAAAATTGCATTAAGTTTTTTAAACGGATCTTTAAAAAATTATTCAGCTTCCAGAAGTTTTCAGAATAAGCTTAAAGTTCTAAGCTTGCAAAATAATAAGGTTACCGGGTTGGCGTTTGTTCCAATTCCATCATAGTACATCACACCAAGTTGGTATTTTGCTTGAAAATCTGTGCTCTTGATTCTTTCAAATGCGACCAGAGCTTTGTCGTAAATTTCCCGCTCAAAGTAGAACTGTCCCAGTTGAAATTTGGCGAGACTATCACCACCTTTAGAACGCTCGATTAAAATTTCTTCCAGAAGTTCTTCTGATAGCTCTTCTTCGTCTCCTTCTTGCACTGCACCCATAGAAAACGGTCTTGTGTTAGGGAGCTTTTCAGCGCTTAGCTTACGATCGCTAAGGGGTCCGACAGGACAAGAGAAAGGCCGTATTTCTAGAGCTTCTTCGTCCGCCATCTTGGACGTAAGTTGAGCAATCACTGTTGCCATAGTGACGATGGTCGTACGAGCTGATAAAATAATTCTATTGGGGGAGGGGTCGTACGGGAGGAATTAAAAAATTTCCATCCCATTCCAGCGCGGCCTTTGAGTGCCAATAGCCATTGATCGGAGAAATCAAGCAGTTTTATAATGACTGAACTATTTTGTACAAATATTAAAGGCAAGGGATCGCAAACAAAAATGCTGCTATTTGATCAGACAGCAATAAAAATAGAATAACAATGAAACAAGGCTGATTACTACGAAGACAACTTAACGGGACATCGACCTGGTAGAGTCCAAACTGACAGTTTCAGTAAGGTATGGCAGCCAAAAAAATAGAGCAACAAACAAGAAAGGCCAATTTCATCTAATAGACCTTTTATGAGCTGTAAAAACCAAACCGCTGCTAGGAAAGGGTTGCTCTGTATGGGAATCGCAATCCTTCTCTTCGCTAACCCTAACCCGAGCTGCTATCCCGAGGGACAAAAACGCCTCTAATCTCTAATTTCTTGGTGTTCCCGAGAGCTATCCGGTGGGAATAGTCGATCCCCAAAGGAAATGTTTCCTGTAATCAAACAGTTTCAGATCGCGTAGATATCAACAAGTGGATAAGTGCACGGAAACAAAACACGTCCAGAAATGGTGAAAATCTTTGTCCCAGAATGTTTATGTTTATGTTTATGTTTATGTTTCTTCATGGCGTTAACTTAATTACACTAAAACACAAAATAATAAATTCGTATTAAAGGAAAGGCCAAGGGATAACCTTTGAAAGAGTTCAGGACTCCCCGAATTGGTTAGAAGTACATATTATATCAAAGTAATTGACTAAGGGTTTAACAAGTAAAACTATGTACGACTGGCGTTATAGTAGTTAGTAGTCATAACTCCATGAAAACCTCTTAGCTCCAGCCTTAAAGATACTTACATTCGTAGTAGTATGAGTTTCTATTGGAAAAAGATTCCAAGTATCCGATCGATATTCTGTGGAAAAAACTGTATTTCAATACATTTGTCCTCACACATTTATTTTTTAAAATTAAAGTTGTTATTATGCCTAAGGGAGTAACGATCCCCTTTTGAATAAAACTCTTTATACTCTAATTATCCTGAAACGATTATAAAATATTTTGTAACTAACCTTAATAAACACAAACACTGCATCAGGAGCGCGCATATCAGGATACAGCGAGCGTTACATCATCTGATAAAGAAACTACAGCGGTGAATAAACAAAACAATAAAACAAAGTTGAAAGAGATGCCTTCGAGTGGCTCTTGCAAAAATTACAAAATCTTTTAAAATAGCTTACTAGCCCCTAGTGTTTCATCATACCTACAGGCACGTACGCCTAAAATACTTCTAAAGATTTCACGAATCATGCATAATGAACATACTCCAGTGCAATTAGCAAAACGTTTCAAAATATACATATAGGAACGGACATCAACATTGTCTTCCCCTTGAGAATAAGAATATATATATTAGATCAGCCAGCAATCTTCCCTTCATCAAGGACGTATGATTAGCGGTCGTAAGGGTCATCATTCTTTAGGATGAATTTGGTAGCTCTTCTCTGTATCTTTTCAGACCTTCCAATATTTCGTTTAGTATAGGGAGACCACACTACACTTCTACAGAGTTTGAACGAACCAGAGTGAGCATCACGATGAAGAGTTCGCAAATTAAAGGCTTTGGGTCGTCTAAGCCTCTGCAAAATCGTTTTATTAATCCTAGCATTTGATTTTCTTTGGAAACAATTTTATAGAAATGGGAGTTCCATGATATGTGGTCATTGGAGATAATTTCCAAATCTTATTCTTGGTTATTCTCCTTATTATACATTGTAGTCACCATCTGTCTTTTCATTGGCTAAAACCCTACAATTAATTCTGGGAAACAGCGCAACCTACAGATTATTCACTAATCTGCTAGCAAATTAGTGATTA